AAAATAACTTTTATACCATTATACATAATGTATTTCTTATTTTCTCTTTTAATATATATATATATAGTATATATATAATATATATATATATAGAGAGAAAGAGAGAGAGAGAGAGGAGAGAGAGAGAGAAGAGAGAGAGAGAGAGAGAGAGGCGGAAGTAGGTGTATTAATGCAAGAGGCAAGAAGAGAAATGGTCATGTGAGAGTGGGGTGTGAGGTCACAAATAGTGTGCTGTAATAGTCAAACAAACATGAAAATAAAGCAAAAGCTTCTTCTTGAAGAACCTTCATTAATATGTTTATGTTCCCTTCTATGTTAGGCTAGCTTAATGTGAGAGTGAGCATATGTGAAAACTATCACAAAATCACAAGCCCAAATTAGTTTACTTCGACTGAATGCACCTCCTAAAACCCACTTACAGTGAGTGCACCTACATTCCCTCACCCTACCCAATGCTCATCCTAAAAAACCATATCAATCAACATGCCTAAAAAAATAGTTCAATGCACATGATCAGGGGAATTTCAGATGTATGAGATTTTTTTTTCTTTTTTTCGTGTCTGTGTGAGAATGTTTCTGGTATTTAAACTCATGAATGTATATTGTAGAGTAAACTACCTATTATGTTTAATCTCATACTCATATTAATGAAAAAGGCCTATTATCTTGATATATTTCTACCCTAAGATCAAGTGAGCACCATTGGCATTGACCATTTTGCACCCATTCAAGCACAAGGGCTCTATCTTTTTTCTTGATTGGTAGTACAAGAGGGGTTTCAATCTGTAGTGCAGTAGAACCCAACAAAATGAGTTAAACATTCATGTTTTTGAGTAATTATTTATTGTAAAGCGATTATTACTCATCTTTCATGGAGAATAATAAGAATACTAAAGCAATCGCTTTATAGTAGAGGTGACTACTATTACCGTGCTACATGGTATGGGCATGGTAAAAAGCAAGTCAAGCGAAGAAGGTGACTCCATACTGGAGAATTAGGGATTATTAAGATGTCATGAAAAACTTGAAATTTCATTTAGGTCCTTAGTTCCAGTTGAATTGCGAGCTATATGACAAAGCATTTCCATTATTTCAATTCTAGAGCCAATTCTCTTTTTGCTTGTTTAATAGCTTGTGACAAGTACAATGAGGATCAAAATCGGACACTTTTAGTCAAGCGCAGTTGAAATGTCAGTCAATAGCATGAGTTCAAATCCAAAAACAACCCCTCCCCACCCCCAAAAAAAAAAAAGAAAAAAAGAAAAAAGAAAAAGAGTTTCCAATAAATTGTTTATCATTCTCACAGATCCACTACAGATGGGAGTCTCATATAATAGATACAACCTTTTTTTTTACATTTTTATTAAAGTGATGTTTGATAAAACTGAAAGCTGCACACAAAAAAATAGAATGTTGAATTTTAAGTGTTAAATGCTAAATTTTTTAATTCGTAGACTGTTTGGTATCAACAAAAATTTAAGAATTGAATTTAATCAAATTGTTTAACAAATATAAGGAGCTGAAATAAGAAAATTATTATTATTCTAATTTTGTCCTTTTTTTTAACCATCTCTCCACAAGTACCTTTTTTCGATCACCACCTTTACAATAGTGGTGTATTGGTGGTGGCGGTGGCGGTGACATAATGGTAATGGTGATGGTGGCGACACAATGATGGTGACGATGGTGGTGGAGGTGGGGGTGATAGCAACAATGGTGGCAGTGATGGTGATGGTGGCACAATAGTGGTGATGGTGATGGTAATGGCGGCGACGACACAATAATGGTGAGGGTATATTTGTTCATTATGAGAAATTGATAAAATTCTTACTGACTAACATTTTCAGCATTAAATGATAAGTAGGAGACGTGCAACTTAAAATTTTAGCCTATTTTTAAGAAGTGTTTAAAATATTAAATAGTATAACTTTTAGGTTATCAAATGAGTTTAATTATTAAGTACTTAAAGTATTCAGTTTTAAATTTTAAATGATATTATCAAACAGTCCCTAAACCACCATCTACACATGATAATCTGATACAGAAGGTGAGGCAACCATGTCCCAACTAGCTCATTCTTTATAACTAGACTTCATGTTCCATCCCTTTCTAGTTAATGTAAGGAGTATATAGTGTAAATAATAATCCTATGATGGTCTACATTAAATGCTTCTGATCTTAATCACATACTGTCAAATGGAATCCTCTGAGGGTACTGTTTCTTGAAATTTCCTTAAGGGATTTGTTTAGGCATGGTTTTGATGCTAGAAAAAAAACTAGGTACACCCATTTTATAAATTATTCAACTCGATTTAATTACAAATACTCAGTTTTTAAGATATCATTTCTCTAAATTCACTCTTCTTTTCATAGGTCTTATTGTAATTTCATTGAGAAAAATAAAATATTTATATTTTTTCACAACATATATGCATATTTTGTTATTGCTCATAGCTAACAAATACTCCCTCTGTTCCTAAATGTCTATCGTTTTACACAAGTTTTTTTATTTTATAATATCTATTGTTTAATGAAACCAAAACATAATTAATATTTTCTCTTCTAAATTTACCCTTAATTTTTCAATGCATTAGATTAGGTGGAGGCTAAATGTCTTTCATATTCCTTTCTTCCCAATACGTATTGAATTAGGGTATTTTTGTCTTGTGTAATTATTTTTTACTCATATTAGAACTATTTAATAACTTCTTTAATTCTTGTGTAAAATCCTTAAACGAGAGATATTTAGAAACGAAAAGAGTATGATTTTCAAAATATTGCCGAAAGATGGTGTAGATATCTATCTGATCATTGTATAAGTAGGCAAAGAATGACAACCCATTAGGTCAAATGCTTCATTATTACTTGTTTCTCAGGAGACTAGGGATCAAAGGAACACACATTTTAATTTACATAAAATTAAAAACTCATAGGCAATTATAAGCATAGTTGGCCAACAAATATGTTACCATTACATGGCAAACCGAGAAGAATGACATCACCATTGTAATAAATATTTTCTCCTATCCTAGCCCTCGCCGTCTATAATGATAGATGAATCAAAAACTTTCCTTGCAAGATATGCATTTCATTTCAATTATCATGAAAAAATATATATACTTATCGCTTTATTTTTCCTCAAAGCAAGAGGATTTCAGATTTTTTTTGTTTAAACCATTGTACCTTAATTTATTTAATGTTATTGCCTAAATACCATCTTTTCCGTTTTTAAAATTACCACATTTTCATGAAAACGTAATTTAAATTCATGTTTTTTATGTGAAAGTTTGTTTTAAGATTTTTTTTATTATAATAAGTATGTTTTTACTTTAAAAACGTAAATTTAAATTATATTTTCATATAAAAAATAGTTTTTAACAAATAAGATTTGAAACAAACGGTAACTACACAGTGAAGTTTTAAAATGACAGCAGAATAATAATTGATTGGGAGATTTCAACTAAACTAAATGAGTAGTGACCCCATCCTTCATCAGCAAATAATCACAATATTTGTCTGACCAAAAAAATCATTATAGTAATAATCATAATGTTGGTGTAGAAGACAATGATGAATGATGTGGATGGGTAAGCTGAGATCCTGATCTTCAACCACCACATAGAGCGCGAGTTTCAACAGACAAGTATCAGTGGGCCATATGTCTATTCTCCACTTTTTAGTTGGGGCCCATACAACACATTATGCCATGAATATATGCAGGGAAAGATTAGACACCCTGCCTTTTATGAATGGCTTAAATGCACAACCAAATCCTTTTTCAGTCAATGTCCATACCTCTGCCACCCATGCATTCACAGGGCAACCTTCCAATACTAGTTTACAGGCTAGTTGAAATTTGTTCATGTTATATCAAAATGCATCTCCCATTGCCCTTTAATCCATGAATTACTTGAACCAACAGACCAAATAGCAACCCAGAAAAACAAAGAACAAAAAGATCAATTCAACAGTCCCAATCACTCAAAACCCTAATGTCACAATATCATGGGATTAATAATTTGATCATCAATTTGCTTGTATACAAATCGAAATGGGTACATTGCAAGAGAGGAGAAATATTATCTGATACCTAATCAACCGAGTACTGGAGAAAATGAAACCTCATTATCAATCAACCACAAAATTACAAAACTCACACATGTTCAGTGTACAACTGAACATTCATAAGCCCTAGTCTGTAAGTTCTGATCTTGATTCAGTTTGCAGGCTCAGCTGCTCCACTGAAGAAGATAAAGCAACAAAAGAAAACTTTATCTTCTTTTGTTATTAAGAACTAAGAGGCCATGAACCAAGTCAAGTCCCCTAAGCAAGAACTGTCCACTGTAATTTCCGATCCCAGAACCCAAGGATAAACAAGTTTCGTAGACTGCCAGCAAACCAAGAAAATAAGATAAAAAGGCCTAGCAAACTTCTTTAGCTGCTGCTACAGCAGCCTCTGCTGTAATGCCAAACTCCTTGTATATTTTTCCTGCGGGTGCACTTGCCCCAAACCGATCAATTCCAATAGCCTTCCCTTTGGGTCCAACAAGCTTCTCCCACCCAAATGTCGATCCAGCTTCAATGCTGACTCTAGCTGATACAGCCACTGGCAGGACACTTTCCTTATAATCATCTGATTGCTCATCAAAAAGCTCCCAAGAAACAAAGGAGACAACTCTAACAGCCTTGCCTTCCTTTCTAAGCTCATCAGCAGCTTTGGCTGCAATTTCCAATTCTGACCCCGTCCCAATCAAGATGACATCTGGCTTGTTACCTGAAGAGTTGTCTGATATAATGTAGCCTCCCTTTTCAACTCCTTCAATGGAAGTTCCGGGAAGTTGGGCCAGCTTTTGCCTAGAGAGGGCAAGGATTGATGGTCTCTTCCTGTTAAGGACTGCAACCTTGTAGGCACCAGCTGTTTCATTGCCATCAGCCGGACGGAGCATCAAAATATTAGGCATTGCTCTGAAGCTCGCCAAGTGCTCAATAGGCTGGTGGGTCGGTCCATCTTCTCCTAGCCCAATTGAATCGTGAGTCATAACATATATAACTCCAGCTTCAGATAAGGCAGAAATCCTAATGGCTGCTCTCATGTAGTCAGTGAATACAAAGAAAGTAGCACAGTAGGGAATGAGGCCAGGGCTGTGGAGGGCAATCCCATTGCAGATGGCTCCCATACCATGTTCACGGACACCAAACCTGACATTACGTTCTTTTGGTGTGTCCTTTTGGAAGTTGCCAAACATTTTGAGCAGGGTCAGGTTGGAGGAAGCAAGATCAGCGCTACCACCAAGAAGACCAGGGAGAACCTTTGCAAGGGCATTTAGGCATTGTTGAGAGAGATTCCTGGTGGCATCAGCCGGGCTCTCAGGCGTATACATCTGAGGAAGTGCAAATAAACCATCTTAAACATATTATATATGTTCTTTTGATTTCCTCAAAAACTTGTACATATTATTAGCCCTATGTACTGCTAAATCATTTTTCTCTCATACTACAATGATAAGATAGCTTAACTGAGGACCCACAGAGTTATAGCAGTGATTTTGACTTTGCTAGGAGTGTCTGCCTACTGTTTAATAGAAGTAAATAGCACAAGGTGTTGTGACGAAAAACTTGCTTCAATGTTGTGTTTTCTGGAAAGAATCGAACCCACTTCTATCTAAAGCTATGACATCCACATTCCGACATCCATATGACATTTTTCCAAACAAGCACTCAAAGATAAGACAAACATAGAAAATGTTGAAAGTTCACTCACGGGGAGAGCTTTCTCCCAACCAGCAGGCAATTCACCATTGATGATAGATTTCAACTCTGCAGCTTCCTCCTTGTACTTCTTCTCATATTCAGCAAACTTTGCATTCCATTCAGCTTCAAGAGCAGCACCCTCAGGGGTATGGTGGCTCCAATGCCTGTTGTGAAGCAAAAAAAATTCGTGAAGAAGTTAGTCAAACTTCAAATCCATTCCACAAGCATGATAAAAAGTTTTACATACTTCTTTACATCCTCGGGAACATGGAAAGGTTCATAAGGCCATCCAAGGTTCTTCCTGGTAGCATCCACTTCCTTACCACCCAATGCACTCCCATGTACACTGTATGAGTTTGCCTTGTTAGGGGATCCATAACCGATGGTTGTAGTCACCTGTGAGGAACGAAAAACTCAGCAAAAGCATAACTCTGACCTAAAGCAATTTGAATTTAAAAAAATAAGAATAGCCCACTCTAGAAGAATATTCAAGGAAAAAAAACCTCTAATCTAGCACTGTGATTTCCTTTTTCCTAATGCCTCACTTAAATGACCTAAGTAAGATACAAACAATGAAGAATAAAATTAACGGGATAGCTATACCATTGAACTATATAAGGCCTTACTAACTTATTCCAAGAAGTAAATGTCATCCCATTTTAAGAAAATCCGATACATTTTGTCTGAGATATTGAAAAGGTAAAACTTGCATAAATTATGTAAGAAATTCCTCCTTGGCCTAATTTCTTGATAGGCCATCTGTTTGTGCAGCCAGTATCTGACCTTAATTAAAGTAGGTTTGTCTTTCACAGCCTTTGCTTCCTCAATGGCAGCACGAATTTCATCATACCCTGTGTTACCGTCCTTGACCCAGATCACGTGCCACCCAAGACCCTCAAAACGGGTGTCCACACTCTCAGTGAATGCAATTGCCGTGTCACCATCAATGGAGATATGGTTGTCATCATAGAAAGCAATCAGTTTTCCCAGACCCCAATGTGCAGCAAGAGAACAAACTTCATTAGAAATCCCCTCCATTTGACAACCATCCCCCAGAATAACATATCTGGAGATCCGGAACACCAATAAGTCAATCAGAATAAAACTCTACTAATTTCATTTCATACAAGAGAAGGTAAAAGGCAAGAAGATTCAAAGAGTAATTTTACGTGTAGTGGTCAACAATCTCACTGTCTGGTTTGTTGAAACGAGCCGCCAAGTGCTTCTCAGCAAGAGCAAGACCAACAGCATTGGCAATACCCTGACCAAGAGGACCTGCATAAGAGCACAAAGATTGCAATGACTTATACAACTTTCACTTTACTAACGCAAGCAAATTAACATGACTCGGAGGACTACAATCTAACCAGTAGTGACTTCAACACCAGGGGTCTCAAAGTTCTCAGGGTGACCAGGGGTTTTGCTCCCCCATTGACGGAAACTCCTCAAGTCTTCTTCCTAATAGATGATACAAAACACATTATTTTTGTTAGAAGAATATGAAAGAAGTCTAACTATAAGGAAAAAAAATTCAACACAAGCAGAAGGTAACTCAAATAATGAAAACACAAGAAAAAACTCATGCTATTTCACTCTAAAATACCATCGTCCATTATAATCCCTAAGAGATAACTCAGCAGATTCCGCAAAAGCATAAGTGAAAATTGGAGATCCCTAATTCATAAGCTCAATTGATGAGAAAGAAAAAATATAACATCCAGCTGGTCTCATCAGTTACATCAAAAGAAAAAACAAGATTAAAAAAACCAAGAGATGACAAAATTAGGCAAGCAAACTTATGGTCACCTCAAAACCTATTTTGACAAAAACAAAACATACAAATAAACACAAAATCAAAGCAGCCAAACATGCTGGCATAACGAACCTAACATACATATTTATCCAAGCAAAGTTCTTCTTAAGCCTTTTGCTTTTTCCAACTCTCTCTGTCTCTCTCTCCCCCTCTCTGTTTCCATACACACAGACACAATGAGGTATTTACTAGTGTGCCGCAATTTTCAAATAATATTACCGATATACGGTGTTTTTGAACTTACTACCAAACTGTCAACAACTCCACTTTTAAGAGTGAATCCATTAGGCTTAACATCTGATTAAAAGAGGGCTCAACTACCCCGCTTTTTTTTAAAGTGTCGTAATTTGTTAAAAAAGTTGAAAAGTGAGGAAACCAATAGACAATCCGTAACTCTCTCTCTCTCTCTGTGCACCAGATATTGGCCCCAAAATACAACCTTTTCTTCTTATACTACCCAGATCCAGATCCAGATCAATTCACAAGTGTTTGTCAATCAGTTCACCAACAAAGTAAATACACACACACTCACTGCTACACAAACATATACACATCAACCAACATGATCAAGAAAAGACTAATACAAGAACCTAACCTGGACACTATCGTAGCCAGCGAGGTGCATCAGAGCATACTGAAGCATACACCCATGTCCAGCTGATAATACAAAGCGATCACGGTTGAACCAATAAGGGTTCTTAGGATTGTACTTCATGACCTCGTCGTACAATATATGACCCATCGGCGCACACCCCATAGGCAGTCCCGGGTGCCCCGAATTCGCCTTTTCCACAGCATCAATCGCCAGGAATCGAATTGTGTTTATCGATTTCTTCACCAAGGCTACGTCTGTGGTCTTTTCGAGCGTCTCTACGGATGCTGAGGCACGAATTGCCTGATGTGTCGTGGCGGCGACACGGCGACGATGGGTGGTGGTGCGAGAAGAGGGAGGTGAGGTGGATTTGAGTCCGGAAAATGATGGGAGAGAGACACGTTCTTGGGAAGAAGAGGATGAGCCATGGCGTGAGATGGAGCGAGCTAGGATAGCTTGGGAGAGGGTCAAAGATGAAGAAGTGGCCATGGATTGTACGTTGTTTTAGAGAGAGAAAGTAAGCAGAGAAGAGAGAGAGAGAGTGACACTTCTTGGGAAGAAGGGGAGATGGTGAGGGGATTTTGATCGTTGGATGGGTAGGATGGAGAGATCGGGGCTGTTGAGTTGGGGTAGGAAATGAATGCCTTTTTTATCTACTGGTCGGCCCGTGCAATGATAATTCGTTTTTTTTTAATTTTATTATTTGATAAGTTAAATAAATAATTATATTTATATTTTTGTGTGATCAAAATTAATTTTTTAAAACAATTTTAAAAATAATAGTTAATTATTGAAGAATTGCCGAGAAGTTACTAATGACACGTGTTAGCGTCTCATTGGAGGGAGTCTTAAGTTTTAAATTAAAAATTCTAAATTCTAAAAAAAAAGTAAAGTGATAGAAAAAACTTCTCAAGTCATCTCTAACCTAATTTAATTGTTTTGGTTAATGTTATTCTCACCCCTTAAATCTCTTTTTTCAATTCGTTTAATCATCTTATTTCAAAATTAGATGAATTTAATTTTTAATTAGTGAATATAGACGGCGTGAGTTTAGTAATTAAGGAGATGTGTATAAATGGGGTTGAACTTAGTAGTTTGAAAAAAGATGATTAAACGGAGTAACAAAAGAAATTTAAAGGGGGAGAATATCTCGCCCAATTGATTATGTGGAGCAAGCGGTTTTTTTAATTAAAAAACAAGTAATTTTGACAAATTATAATATATTTATAATTTTTGAAAACTAAGTAATTTCTCAACCAAAAAAAAAAAAGATTTGATGCTCTCTATGACTCACTAGTTTTACTTGTTTGTTTGTTGAATGGATTGAGATGGATTACCAACCAAAAAAATATAATTAGACCCTAATATTTTTTTAGTGAACAAATTAATATTTGATGTTACATTCTAACATGACAATAAGTATGTCATGTCATGACGAAGACTTCTCTAATTTAAATTACAGAAGAGATTAAATAATGACAAAAATATCTCAACATTAGAGGCCTTAAAAACATTTGACTAATACTTTTGATAAAAATAAATTTATATTTTTTTAGTTTAACGATAAAGGTGTCTGGACCAGCTTACGTATATCTCGATTAATATTCACTTTAATTTGATCAAAGATAAATCATTTACGTCGAAACTAGAAAATTCAGATACATATAATCTTTCAATTTGACATATATCATGTTATTATCAAGATAGATCTTTAAAATAATTTCAAAGAGTTGACAAAAGCTTGATGATGTATTAAACATTTCTTCCATTAATAAAGTGCTAGTTATTAAAATCCTTCTTTAATACTCCTTCCGTTCCTAAATATCTGTCGTTTTACACATTTTTTTTTATTCTACAATATCTATCGTTTAATGAAATCAAAGCATAATTAATATTTTTTTCTTGAAAATTTATCCTTAACTTTTCATTACATTAAATTAGGTGGAGGTCAAGTGTCTTTCATATTTTTTTCTTTCTCAATACGTATTGAATAAGGATATTTTAGTCTTGTATAATTATTTTTTACTCATAATAGAGCTATTTAATAGCTTTCTTAATCTTTTGTACAAAAACATTAAACGACAGATATTTAAGAACGGAAGAAATTCTATTTTGAAATTAGTAAAAAGTTAATATCATCCTTTCTAGGAGAATCTAAGGATGGACAAGTAGATCAATTTTTGGGTTTGCTTAGGGGCTTTAGGAGTTAAGGTGCATGGTCCGGCCTAAGGCATAGCCCATTAAGTTCGCCTGGGGCTCCCAATTTAATACATATATTTGAGACCTCAAAAAAGAAAATTTAAATCACTTAAAAAAAATTGGGGTCTCTAATTTTAAAACAATTTTAAGTACAAAATCCGATTCCCATAAAAAATCAATACAAAAATAACGTTTCAAACTTAGGGTTAGTCTTAGTAGATACGGGTGATAAACAAATAAAATTGATAAGTTTATAAAATAAATGAGTCAACATAAATTCGACTAAACATGAAATAAATCTGCTAACATGACATATATAATACAAACTCGACTACACAAATCATAAATGAAATGAGTATAAATTGAATCAATTATAACACGACACAATTGAATGAATGTTTTTTTATTATCTTTATGTTTTTCAGTCTTACCTATTTTTTATGTAATAAATACTAAAAAAATATATAACACTTGACAATATAATAGTCAATCATGGTAGGCAGAAAGACCTATAAATTGGTGGGAATTTTCATTTACAAAACCCAGGAGGCAAATAATCAAGTCTTAGCTTAAATTTGAGGCATTTTTCGTTTGTGTCAGAATTTTTACTTAATTATTTTTTTTTTACAATTACACACAAAATAGTTAAAAACAAAAAACAAAAAAAACAAAGTGTGTTGGAGTTGTTTACTATTCAAATCCTAGAAACATTCATCATTTAAAAAATTATTTTGCTATATTAACAAACAAGAAAACACACAAATACCATATATACATTCATGCATACAGATTTTCTTTTCCTTCCATTGAATTTTGGCCCCAAAATTTTTGAATCCATGGTGTTAAAAATCACATATTCCTCATATCGTCGCCTCAACACCTAAACTATTTTAACAGCCTTTCCAAGTCCAGAAAGTTCATAACAGGGTCAAATCTTCAAGAAGTTTACCAAGACAGTTGCACCAAGTTCATGGTTTCTCATGAAACGGGTTCCAAGTCAAACAGAAAAAATGAGGTACGTATTACTTAGCTTTCCTGCTCAACTTTCCCTTCTTGTGTGAAAAAACTTCAAAGAGTTGTCGTTGATCATTGCTCCCATACCCCCTTGATTCACTTTCTCTGTCCTTCAACTTAATATTCATGGCATTAACCAATAACTTAGTCCTCGGCTCAGGTACCATTCCCTTCCATGTCATCTCATTGAAGTAACACAATGCATCCTCCATCCTTCCCTTGTCATAAAGCCCATGAATCATAATAGTGTAAGATCTTTGGTCAGGTCCCATTCCACTCCTCTCCATCTCAGACCAAGTACTTTTTACTCTCTCTTGCTCATCCCATCCCATAAACAGTCTCAACAACAAATTGTAGGTGTCACTAGTCATCTTGCATCCAATTCTGTACATTCTCTCCAAAATCCCAACAACTTCCTCT